AAATAAATGCATAAACTCTCACCTGTCACCACGAGAGGGAGACAAGGACTACGGACTTCCATTTGGCACGATCCCGACACACCTCTCTTGCTTCTTTTGCTCCATATATCTACGCACATATACCCTTCCATTAATTCGTGATATGAGTTTATTTTGGAATAAGTATAATTTAGAACATATTCAAGATATTACCAATTTGGTTGATAAACTTTTATCTGACGTCCCAAACCGACTCTGCCACTCACTCAATTTTAAATTTAACGTTAACTTAAATAGCCAATTTGCCCTACGTGCCCGTTTTCGCCTGTTATAATGATGAGCGAAATACTTTGAAATACTATCCATATTATTCAGATTGACGGGATGTTAAGTTGTAAATATTCAACACAAAATTCTAACTCCAAGAATGTGAAGTGCCATTTTTAAGTGTTTTATATCATCATTAAATAATGGCGCAGTTCCATATCGCTTACTATAAATAAATTAATAAACGAGTTATCGGTTTATAAAAGAACATTAGATCATATACATAATATACTCGAACTGCTATAAAACCAGCGTCAGTGAGTATAACTATTACTTTGTGCGGGTAGTACCTGTCTGTTGAACTAAATACAGATATAATTATAACACTACATATTATGAACTAGGCACATGGTGATAGTACGCCTATGCATATTTCTGTCGACAAATAGCAGTGCTTGCGTTGCTGTTTCCGGTCTGTAGGTTATAGTGATCCAGAATAATTACAGGTTGTGTGGCATTCCATTTTAGTTGTTAGATGTGATTGGCTACAGGTGTCCATGGACTGCAGTTACCACACCCTCTGGTGGACAGTAAGTTCGGTTGTCACTTAAAGACATAAAATATCTATAGCCGATAAAATTGCGTTATTGACAACTTATAGTTTGTTTTTCAATTAATTCATACTAATACTCTATACAATAATTTTCAATTGCTTGTAGCAATGGGCGTAAAGGCTTCAGCTGTCGTCATTGTAAGTTGCGAAGTTTTAATTTCTAATATCAAAATTTGATCTGATTAGAATTCTGTTTATCGTACGATATATGGAGGCGTCACCTCAATAGATGGTTGTAGTCATCTTTGGGGGAAGCCTTTGTTCAGCGGTGGGTTTGTGATGAGCTGTAGTAACAGTGTGTGATAGTGATAGTCATTGATTAACAGTTTAAGTCAAACATCAAATATCCGAAAATATTTAAAAAAATGACTCAAAAAATCAATTGTGCCTCGAAAATATTGCTGTAAGTAGGTAATAATTTGCAACACAAGAGTTGTAGTAACCACGCCATCAAAATAGTCTTAAAATGCTAATAAAGTGTATTATTGAAAATAATTAAACCTGGACCTGGTTGAAATAAATTTATTTATTCTAATACCGTGGTAGCTCAGGGACTAAGAGCTCTCTGTAAACATTACAGTACGCGAGCAATCCGAGTTTGAATCCCGCCGGCGCTAATGAAATGGTTAATTACAATTTTAAGTGCTGATTTACCACGTGCTTTTTGGTAAAGGAAAACATCGTGAGGAAATCTGCATGTCTTAGAACTTAATAAAAATTATTTCGAAGACATGTGAAAGTAGGGTTACCATTACTCAGGATTTGTCCTGAGATTTCAGGATTTTTAGACTCTTCTCAGGATTGCGGCTGGATTTTGCAAATCCCATGAAATCTCAGGATTTTTAGAACTTTCAATATAATACAGCTTACATTTTAAAGATCTCTAATAAAAAGTTAAACAAACTAAAAATAATTTTCCTTTGGTAATAATTCCACAATTAAAATCAAAAATTATGTATCCAAGTAGGTACTTAAACAGTTTTATCATACTTAATATGTATGTATAGCTGTCACTGGTGTAGAGACAGCTAGATTAGTTTATTTCAGTATTTCCATAGTATAATGTCTTATGGGATTTTGCTATGGGGAAATGCGGCTGATTCAGAAACTATTTTTGTTTTACAGAAGAGGGCCATTAGAGCTATTTACAACCTAAAACCGAGAGTCTCTTAGAGATAAATTTAAAGAAATAAATATATTAACTTTGGCCTCTCAGTATTTTTACGAAAATTTAATGTATATTCACAAAAACAAATGTAGTTTTAGTAAAAAAAGTGATGTACATTCTGTAAACACTAGGAACAAACACAAGCTAGTGATACCAGTTTCTCGACTCCACAGAGTCAGTAATTCATTCATATGTATACGCTATTACAACAGGGTCCCGGAAAGTGTATAGGCTCTCTCTATTACCAAGTTTAAATGTTTTGTTAAGTTGAAACTGTTTAAAAAGGGTTATTATAGTATAAATGAATACATGGTTGATAATAAACTCTGGGAATGAGGTGGTCGCTTCCAAGCTGTTTCTAAAACAAATTTTGTATCTACCAATCATTAATGTAAAATATGCTTTTAAAAAAAATGTCCCGCTGGGTTTCTTGCTGGTTCTTCCAAGGGCAGAGGTTCTTTTTTTCGAACCAGTGGTAAAGTAAAAAATGACTTTCAATAAGAATTACACATGTGATCTATATAAAATAAAAAATTATTCTATTCTGTGAAGATACCTTTTTAAGTAAGGTTTTCTTCTCAAACTGTAAAAAAATCTCAGGATTTAAATGGAAATCAGGCCTCTTCTCCGGGCTTTTAATTTTTTCATCTGGTAACCCTATGTGAAAGCCACCAACACTCATTGAGGCAACGTGGAGGACTTTTCCTAGCCCTAAAACCTTCTGAGATATAAGAGGCCTATGCCCAGGCGTGGGACGTAGTAGGCTGTAACTTAACTTTAATTCTAATACTTACACAGATGATTAATTATTTCAATGTTTCACTTTGCTATTCTACCTCTATGGCTAAAATAAATTTGTATACCACACTGTGGTATACAATACATGATAAGTACTGTAACACGTTACTAATACCTAACTCACTGTATTTACATAATAAATACATCATAATATCTTAGTAAAGATGTTTAGATAATTTTGCACCAATTATGAAATGCTTGCATATTTATCTATAGCAACAAGTTTGGATATATACTGAAAATTTAATCAAACCTAACACTAAACCATATCTTGTCTATGTTTTCCTGATATGACAACAATATCTTATCATTTGACGCTGTCTTTTATAATACTTTCTTTATGTTACTACGGCATTAAATGTAGTTTATCAACGCACCTCTCCATAGCTTTATTATTCTACAAAAGGTCAACGTCCATAGAGAATTATAGTTATCTATATAGTTAGCTAATTAGCCACACCGAGACATCACTGAACAGTTGACATCTGGTCGTCATAATGAAGTCAATCTCATTTTTTATCGAACCGTGGGGGCATTACCAATCCACTTTCTGTGGGACCGATTTTGGAAGAAAGAGTGTATCATAGAGTTAATCTATCTCTACAAAGTTGGCGTGCTGCTGGCCCCTTGATCGGATCCGGAATTTCTTCAACTTCAACACAACCCACACCGGTGACAAGGAACAGCGTCAAAGATGCGAAACATCTGGGACTGCGATCAAGAATCCGCCTTCGAAAAGAGACATTTAAGATAAATCTTTCCCACGAGTGAGCCACATGTCTATCAATAGACTTTAAATGGCTGATAAAAAATGTTTCTGGAATGATAAATGACGTCACGACTTAATGACTCATCCGACACGTAAACAAGTACGGCCACGTCAGGGCTATTCCGCATGATGACTTTGTTTAGATGCGCAAGAATACAGGGTCTGGTGTAAGATTCGTATGAAACCTTGATGACGTAACAAGATAAATCGTAAAGATTCTACTGCTATTGATGAGTTGTTATGGTTATTACTATTTATAGTTGGAAATATGGTTTGATTTATTGAAGATGTACATTCTTTGTTTCGGTTTGCTTCACAACACGAGTCATCAAGTTGCATCCCGTATTGTGATATGATTGCTATTGAAAATATAAACATCCATCCATTCATTTATTTTCAAACGTTTTGTTTTATTTTTAACAACGTGAATTAATATAAACTAAATTATTTTATCATCTATGAATTATAATAATGTCCTCCAGACCGAATTTTGGGCACGGCAGCCAGTCTTAACATAGACTAACCTTAACCCTACAAAGGTGACCTTAATATGGTGCCTGACCCTGACCACGTAATGTCAACATGCTGCTACTTTTTTGAGGTCTAATGTTCATTAACTAGCCTATTAGCAATCTCATCGAATTCATGCGTGACTTATAAATTACCAGGACAATTTTTATGGAGGTCGTTCATTGTGTTTTCCTGTTTGACCAACAGAATTTTATTTGTTATTTGTTACCAAGTAGCGTATGACTATAATTTATTTTACAGTTTAGTAAACTTTAATATAGAGTTTTTATATCGTGCGATATCACTTAAACAAATCCTTTTTTGTTTGTGATAGGATACGAGAAAAACATCGCATATAATATTTTATAAAATTTTAATAAATATTTTTTATCCACATATTATTGGTTCATACTCAATAGTACAATCATATACATTTTTTTTTTTATAGGAGAGGGAGCAAACGAGCATGCGGCTCACCTGATGGTAAGTGACTACCGCCGCCCATGAACAACTGCAACACCAGGGGAATCGCAGATGCGTTGCCGGCCTTTTAAAAAGGAGTACGCTCTTTTCTTGAAGGTCCCTAAGTCGTATCGGTCCGGAAAAATCGCTGATGGTAATCGATTCCACAAGGAGGTCGTGCGAGGAAGAAAACATCTTCTAAATCGCACAGTGGTGGACCGCCAATCATGCAGATGGTGTGGATGGTATCGGGAGTTCTGCCGCGATGTGCGTTCGTGAAATTTGGCGGCTGGGATTAATCCGAACAATTCCTCAAAGCACTCCCCATGGTAGATGCGAAAGAAAATGCAAAGGGATTAAAATAAATACATACAGTAATCAACATATTAAAAATATTATGTTAATAATGAAATTCTTATTATTTTGTCCTACAGGTACACTTTTCCCCACATCCGCCAAAAGTGCATGTTATGAGAGTATGGGCCTTTGCAGCGAGGCAGGCGAGGGCCGGTCACTGGGAGCGACACGCTCTCGACCGCGAAAGGTTTAAACGAAGGTCAGTAAGCCAAAACAATACAACCAACCTTCTTAGCATAGATGCATCATAGTCGGTCGCTTACTACAAAAACGTAAGCGTAAAACCTAGTAGTTTTTTATATTATAGCTAAACATAGCAACATTATCTTCCTTGCATATTTGAGTCTCCCAAATAATATTACACAAACCTAAAAAAGTAAAAGTATAGTTTAATTGTAAAAAATATTTCTGTTAACGTTTCAAACTAAAGTACACAATTCACGCATAAAGCAATATGTTTTTTACGTACGAAGGTTTTAACAATTTATTTCATTACAGAATAGCTGATGTTGATATGGCAGTATCTTGGGTCCTCAAGCCCCAGCATAGATCCCGGGTGATGTTCCAGCGATTTATGCCTTGGTGGAACGCTCAGAAAAGAAAAGAATTAGCCGAAAAGAAGCAAAAAGAATTAGAAGAAAAAAATGCCGAGGTAAACAATAAAACGAGTGATATGTCGGACGCAGAAATTGTAACAGAGTCAGATGTAAAGGTTAAAGCAAATGATACGTCTGACGCGAACATTGTAACAGAGCCGGATGTTAATGCAAATAACGTTAAAAAGTATAAAATTCCATTAAATACAGAAATAAAAGATCAAAGTAAAAAAATCGTAAATGGTTTTAAAAGTAACATTGAATTACGGGGCGACCCTGCTAATATTAGCAATAAAACAAAGATTAGTGAAAAAAATAAAAAAATAAGAGAAACGCACAATGTTCTAAAAGACAGCGAAATAGAACTAATCAATGATAAAATAAACGCTTTAAAATTAGGTATACCAGGCAAAGATATAGACGCATTAACAACTTGACACTGTTTTATATGTAGTTCGGCGACCATATTGACTTGAACTTCGGCATCATTGCGGGCAGGAAGGACTGAGATAGCCGCTGAAGCAAATTTGTGTCGTTTTAAAAAACGAAAAAAAATGTTGTTTTGTTATTCTGAATGTTGGTTGCTACTTGCAAAAGTTGTCTGTGATCTCAATATTTTTGATCCATTACATTTAAATAATAAATGTAATAAAAATTCCACCTTGACATTTCGTTTTCGTCATACGCGAGTGTATAAAATTATTAAACTTATCGCGATGTTGCTAGGATGCTGGTTCATTTACTAGCACGCGATGATATCGGAAATCTTGTCGTTATGGCCATCGGACTATATGGGTCGGGGTAAATATAAATGGGAAAGCAAAAATTGAAGACTGTCTGATCCATAAATTATTTTATTATGTTTCTTAAGTAACTTTGACATTTCATTCATACCTTTAAAAATTCTCTACTGTGGTTTTAACTAATTTACCTCAAGATAACTACATACAGATAGATGAGCCTCAAAAATTATACAACATTTAAAAATACAGTATTCAAGTTCATTCTAAGATCTGAATATCGTCAGGAAGCGAAATGAAAACTGAAGGGTTCTGTCAACGCTACAGATACACCTATAGATGCCATATTAAAACCAATGGCGACATTGTGATAACTATCACTTGTTATCAAGAAAAGTAATCAAAATACTTAATTATTAATGTTTGTTTTACATATCCTGACGTATCCCCCTCTACAGATACATACTATATACACCATACACACTACACATACTATCGTCTAGGCTCTAGAATTACATTTAAAAACGTGGAAATTTTATCTAAACCGATTGAGGAAATATGAATGCCGGAAGTAGTAGGGTAAGGTGGGGCACAGTGTTACCAAAAAAAATGGCAATGTAGGGACGAAAATATTAATTTAGTCAACTTTTAAGTGGCATTAATATTTACTTTAAAAGTCTCTTCTTACTTATAATTATTTAAACTTAACTATTATTATCAACAACCTACTTAAAATGGCACTTTAATGAGATCAGTCGATTGTAACAATGAGCCCCGCATCTGGGGTACTATGTTACAGGGTAAGGGGCACAATGTTACAACATTAAAATAATAGAAAACAATCAATGTCGGTAAGTGTTTTCTGGGGAACGCCATTGCCGGAGGTAGTGATGATCCCGTTGCAGATACTGCACAACACCTAGTAACCTAGTGTTCCTCTTTCGGTGCTCGTTTCTTTATTAAGCTGTTTAGCTCCCTTTGCTGGAATATTTTTTTAGGTTTTTGGACAGTAGTTGTGCCATTTTCATCCAAATAGTAAAATCTGCTATCGTCTGCGAAACTAGGGCATCGCCGTAAAAGATCTTCCAAATTGCTGATGAATATATTCACGCTATGGCGATTGAATTATGTTGCGCGCATCAAGCTGCAAGGTTGCGGTTTTCTCAACGTTAAATCTGCATGCCGTATTCTGAATCCGTATAACCAATCAACTCTTGCCATCTCTTTATCTTTCCAGTATTTTGTAATCATGAAAGTCACATGTTTTTCATTTGCTGCCTTTCGAAGACTCATCCCACTTTCAACCATCAGAATTGCTTCTCTCGTATCATTTTCAGTATAGAGTCCGTAATCCGTCTTCCTCTTACGATTTCGCACAATTTTCTTATAGACCTTCAAAAGAACAAGAATTAGCTCATTGAGGCTCATTGTTACAGTGTCACATAGTGCCCCGTAACATAGTGCCCCGTAACATAGTGCCCCAGGCGAACCAATCAGAAAAATAAATTCAAATGAGCCTTTTGGGTTATATTTAACAAAATATAATGACGCTAAATATACAATAAACAGAAGAAAATAACAATCACTTACCTAAATGCAAAACCTCAGAGAAAATATAGAAAACTTTAACGTGATTTTTTCACGTTTTATCACCCAAATTCGATTTTTGTTAGATAACTCCAACGCGGTACAACCTGAGGCAACGACAACTGTATTAAGATGGCTGCTTATGCGCTTGTTGAAACTGTATACCAATATTAAAAAATTTAAAGACAGAGACTGAGATATGTGCATTGTAACAGTGTACCCCGTGTAACACTGTGCTCCACCTTACCCTAAAATGATGGTTGTGGAATTCTGTCTCGGTTAATTCATAACGTGACCCGATATAGGAATTCTGCAAACGTTTGGTTATCAAAGCAAGTGTACATAACAAGCAACAATGTCAAGTCACACCGTGAAAGTTGACTGGGACTAACGGCCGCTGACAACAGGTCATAGAAAACTTGGCATTCTAATAAACACCTTCGTTCTCACATATGTTTGGGAATAACTACAGAAGATTTGAATGACAGAGACAAAATGTATACAAAGCAAACAAAGGCGGTATAAAACAATTGCTACTTATTACACTCAATTAATTAACAATAACATCATTGATAATATTATCTACTGCAGACAGTTGCGGTTGCTGACGAAAAACAACTTTGATATAAATTTTGTAACTTAAAAACGTAATATAATTTTTGAACTCAGTAATAAGTATTTATTAATAATTTAAGTGTGCAGAACGCACCTAGCAACGGCGCGCTCGTATCGCTTAAATCATTATTAAAGAATAGAATCAATTCTTTTATCGGACTTCTGTATTCCCTTCATTTGATAAATTAAATCATTTATTTCAATACATTTTAACGCATAACAACGCATGACAGCTTTGTAAACAAATCTAACAAAGAACTTTAAAATAAGGTATTAAGAATTGTTCTCGATACGAAAACAAAATCTTAATACTACGAAAATTGATATAAACTTCAACAAAAAAACAGTCGCTTTTACACTACACACTATACACAAAAAGCTTTTTTTTTTACAAAAGGCAGACTAAAATTATAATTCCAATGAAATATTTGGCTAATGGAAGAAAACGAATAAAACTTAAATTAAACTCTTTAAAATGCCCTGTGATAAGTGACAACATTTAAGTGTCACATTGTTATATGATTAAAAAAATAAAAATTAATCCCATAACAAATTAAAAAAAATAACGTTCGAGGCTTGCACGTTAAGACCATTAAAAGGAATATGTGATTGGAGTAAGTCAGCATCATTGTATAAGTATGAAGGTACTACAGTTTGGGCAATGTTCCAATTTTTGATATAAATTAATTATTTTATTGTAAATTACATTAAACTTAATTTAAGCGTCTATGCAGGGTTATTGTAAGGGTCTATTCTTTCTTATGGGTTCTTTCTCTCCGTGGGGTTTATTTAGGGCCTTAAAAAATCTCATTATATTGGCTATATTGTTCGCAACTTTAGTCCATAAAAATTACTTACAATTAGAAAGAATAACCTCTTCATAATCGTACTATGTATAGAGAAGTGTGTTAAAGTGGAAAATTTAATTTGGTAATACTAATGTTATTACTCCTTGCTCAAATTTATGTTCATCAACCTCTTTGTTTAATATTGTCTATCGCCAATTTAAGTTTTTCACTTAATAGTTCTAAAAAAATTATGTGTAATATAAGTGTATGATAAACATGTAAATTTCTGTATAATATAGATTCTGTAATAAAATTATATTCTTACTGTATGTAAAAATAGTTCGGCCTTATTAAAAGCACTATTATTTCGTTTATTTATTAAAATGCTAAAAAATATTTTTGTTACATAACATGGTAGATAATGATTGTTCAATATATTTAATTGTTTTAAAAATCCAGTCAGCATAACAATTCAATATACTAAGATCTCGATTAAATAATAAGAGATGGATTATTAAAATACAATCGTAAACACTGTCGTAGGGTTGTATTAACTTAAATAATATAGTCTCGCTGAAAATTTTATTTTTAAGATAAAAGTTCTGTAACATATGTTTTTTCTTATACTATCGATAAACTACGTTTAGCCCGAGATTATCGGTAAACTACGTTTATCGATAGTCTCGGGCTTAAATTATGGCTTAAGAAGATTTCTAACTAAAGACTTTTAGCACGGTGCCAGTTTTTGCGAAATTTGGGACTTGCTGTCAAATTCCATACATAACATTTTATTTGTCATATTTCGCGAAACTTCCTTACTTATTGTAATAAAGCCGATTGCCGATGTTTCTTCTTGAAATTACTGAACTTTTTTTTCCTTTTGTTCAACTAGTTACTTTAAAAAAATTATCTGCAATGACACCTTGTTATATTCTTAGTAAAACCTTTAATTATAAATCACCATTATTTATTATTTAAAATTTATTGAACAATTTTATCTAAAATGTTAGTTTTAAAGGTTTAATTGCTTTATTATACGGCATTTTTGTAAATTAAGTTTGCATATAAAAACAAATACATATTAAAACTATGTACCTTATATTGTTAATATAAATAAAACTAAAGTGAGCAGGATTGTGATTAATAAATATGGGTTTGGTTTTAAATACAATAAATAGCAGAAAAAAATTGAATATTATTTTATTTCTATCTATAAACATTGATAAAATATTTTATTATATAGCGAAGAGGAATCATGAAAACCCATGTAAATACAAAAAATATTCTGTAATGCCAAATTTGGGAACCATAGTTCTCTTATTTTAAATTTTTTCGCGGGTAGTCATCAAATGGGGGTAGTCCAAATAGCTCTGGTCGGAAATGTAACAAGGAACGAATAACCAGCGTTGCGTTACGAGTAAAATCCTTCTCAAGCCGATGATCTGGAATCATAACAACCTGAACAAAAAATTATCGTTTTAAAAAAAGATTTCTGGATGGTAGGACGCATTTTCACTGATGGATGGTACAGCCCTTTTCCTCTGAAGGAGCCCTTCTGATGGTATCTTCCATTTACCTACTTTCCTGTTCGAAGGTAAGAAAGACAGTATAATTACATACAGGCTGTAAGACATTTCATTTAAACTCTGAAGAGATGACATATCTGTAACCTTGGTTGGTTCCAGATGTCTGAGTTGCAGTAGCCGCTTACCATGAGATTAACTTAGCTTCTATAAGAAAGAAAAATATTTTGTTAAACAGTTGAGGGAAATGTCTGGCGTATTTTTTTTTTAATAACCGATACCACCACTATGATTTGGTCTTGTATCGTGGGGGCAGTTTACGTACATAAATTTCACAAGGAGAAACATTCAGACCCGGAACAATTATTTGTAGGCCATGTGTTACGTGAGGAATTCGACCCGCTGCCACTAATTGCTGAGATGCTAAGCCACGGAGCCGTCAATTACACTTTGTTAGAACTATTGGGGGCAATACCAATTGCATAGCGTATTGGTTTTAGTCATGTGTTAAAACCACGCTGCAACTATATTATGGGTGCAGCACAAATGGATACCGGCTCAGCATCACGCTCTCAGAATACCAGCATAAAATAGCAATGAATGGTAAGTGTAGAGAACCGACTACCCTTTTACAGGCAACGAGGCATTTCATCTTATTATTCGAGGCTGACAACGCATCTGCATTGTGATCCTTAATCGTGGATAGATATTGGTGTCTATGGGCCAAAACATTCACTTACGGTGTACCGCTAACGTGAGTTGGACTATGAAATCACTTAACACAAAAAAAATAAGTTTGATATAAGAAATACGCTCTTATAATGTAACGATGTTGGGTTGGTCGATTGGGACCACGACAACAGCTTTCGAATATGCCATGCTCGAATCAATAAAATAGTCTGAGATGCCATATTGCGTATTTCTTTATCCGTATTCAATTCGAAACTCGGTTACGTGAAACCAGTACGCCTTTGTAGCACGTTACATGACATAAAATATATTATTAGTTCTATTACACGTTTAGCAGGCACTTCTTCCCATTCTCCCCTAATACGGTGATTTTTACTAGCGTACTACCTATTTTGAAATCAACACGGATTGGTATTAGTACAGATCACTTCAAACCAGTGTTCAATACAGACGTATAAATATCTACAAATTAAAAAACGGTAAATCGATTACTTTATATACAGTGTTTTATTGGTGCAAGTTGAGCAGGTTCTGATAAGCGTTTACCGTGATACAATGTGTAATTTCACGAATTCTGAATATGTAATTTAACTGTTTCTTTGGTCTAGCGGTCGTAAATACGGTTGTTGATCATGTTGTCCCGAGTTTAAATCCCGGGCTGAGCCAAAGTCAGATCAGTATTGAAAAGCACCAGTGGCGTAGCTACCCAGGGGCTAGGCGGGGCAGTGCCCCGGGGCCCCCAAGCGAAAAGAGCACGGCCTCCAAGAAAGACGTTCGAAAAGTTATGTACTATCCTAGTTGTATAAAGGATTTCCGAGTTTTGACTTTTTGGCTCCTGACCGCGAACGGCTTGAACTGAAATCATAAAGATTACTCCCACTTCCAGAATATAAATATAACATTGTTAGAGATAATTGTCTACTTCGTTTTATAGTTTTTTTTTTTATATAGAAGAGGGGGACAAACGAGCATGCGGCTCACCTGATGGCATTAACAAATACAAGACCAGGGGAATTGAAAGTGCCCGCTATTTAAAAAGGAGTAAGCTCATTTTTTGAAGGTATCGGTATACCCTACGTCGTATCGGCCCGAAAAAATCGCCGGTGGTAAACGATTCCACAAAGAAGTCGTGCGAGGAAGAGAACTTCTAGTAAATCGAACAGGATTGGACCACCAAACATCCCGATGATGTGGATTTCTGAAATGCGTTGATGAATATTTGTGGCTGGAATTAACCCGAACAATTCCTCTGAACACTCCCCGTGGTAAATGAGTTAGAAAATGCAAAAGAATGCAACATCTCTTTGTCTCGTCTTTAGTCTTCGTCGGTCGTCGCCGATTCGAGCCGCTTTTTGCTCTGTGTAGGGAGTCCCGGCCCAGAGATGAGAACAGTATTCATCCGGCGAGAAGCATACCCGCTCCTGATCCTCAAGGGAAGGATGCAAAAAAGACCGCATCCTGTCCCAATTGGCAGACTTATAGTGCCAAACACAGCGGCGATCTGCAGAACGCAACCGCGATGTGAGTGTGAGTGGCACCATAGGCCGGATCAGACAATGGTCTAATGAGCCAAGGCCTGACATCTGTCCGGATGTGAGGTCAGCAGAAGGTCCAACAGGGTAGGTACACAATCCTTCACATCTAGAATCCGCGTAAGGGAAGTAACCATTTGTATCGGAACCATATGCCAAGGCAGAATCATAAACAGATCTTCCCGCATGATCGGTTAAACAAGAACCAAGCCATTCAGCGTGATGGCCGTTAAATCCTCAAGGATCACGATCTCTAGAGATGGGACCTGTTGTAGCACGGAGTCTGCAGCGATTTGGTCGTGGTCGATGAGTTGGTCTGTGCCGGCATTACCTATAGAGGCACCCGTAGACGCGAGGAGGGTCGTCGCTGACCTTCAAGACCGCCGAGGCGTTGAGAACAGATGTCCTCTCTGACGCATACGCAAACTCCAGCCCGAGGCACAGAAAGGACACCTGCGTCTCGGTCAGAAAGAGCAATGTCGGCTTCGCCATCTTCAGATGGTACCTAGTGGACTTCGTTAACGTTCGAATAAAATCCCCTGAAGTTGCAGAAATTCACGGATAGCGCGGCAGGGGTCACCTTTGTCTTATTGCTCTATTTGCCCCAGGATACGCGATGCAGCCTGAGCACCCGCGCTAAGGAAGAGTGGGGTAGCTTGGGCGTGGATGCTCAGTCACGGATTCTCCAATACCAGAGGTGCTGGTACCTTCCTGGGATGGTTTCTTATTTAATTACACTACCATGTTAAGGGGGAGAGGGGTTAGGCCTCCAACCACCTGCTAAGTGCAGTCCAGGCGAAGTAAACTTGTACTTCACGCTGGTTATCTGTAAGATCGTGGTACCTCCTCGGTTTGAGCCGGTCCACTGATTCATTACATTGATTCATTACGGTTCTTCATTTTATGTCTTACCAGGTCGTCACTCCATCTAGTCTTGCCCACCCGTGCGACAGCAAAAACGGCCGTGTGGCTCTTTCACTGTTATGTTGTCTGCCTATATTATTAACTGTAATCTACTTCGTCATTATTTATGCGTTACACATAATACTTAGTAGTAAGTAGCTTTGCTTTATTATGCCCTGCAGTGGGCGACAAGGAGCTGATGATGAAGTAGTATTGCGCCTTTAAAGTATTTAGTTTAGTTTAAATAGGGCCCCAATTTCATTTTTGCCCCGGGGCCGTTGGTTACATAGCTACGCCACTGAAAAGCACGTAAAGCCGTTAGGTCCTGCATCTGATTTCTCTCCGGTCGTGTCGGTTACCGTCCCATCAGACTATGAGAGTGAGGGAATAAAGAGTGCACTTTTGCTTGCGCTTACATTCATGCACTGTAATTCTGTCTTGCCCAGATGGCTAGTCTCCGTTGAGATTGGCCGCCGTGACCGAAATTCGGTTTGGGGGGCATTAATTTCACGAAACTGCTGTCTCGAATTTAACACGGAAATAGAAATACGCTGACATGCAAATTTTCCAGGTGGCAGAACTCATTTTCTGCACAGGTATCCGTCTGGGTAGAAACCACCCTCTTACATCGGCGGCTTATTTCTAACACCACTTACTTTATACGTGGTAGAGCCATGCTGCAGTTATATTAGTAATATAGTTGTGCACGAATGGGTCGGCTCGACCGGGGAAGGACCACGCTCTCACAGAATACCAGCGTAAAATAGCAGCTTAACGCTGCTGTGTTTCGTATGGTGAGTGTAGAGAACCGGAGACCCTTTTTACTGGAAATGAGGAATTCCATCTTAGTCCTCACGGGTGACAACGCATTTGCATTTTGATTTGTAATAGAGGATAGATGTAGATGTCTATGGGCCGTAGCAACCACTTGCCATCGGGTGGACTGTGTGCTCGTTTGTCACCCTTATCCTATAAAAAAAAAACAATAAGCAGTGAATGAACTGCTAGGCTGTGAAGCATACCATGTTAATACTCAAAGGTGACAACGCATCTCTATCCTTCTCTGATGTTAGTTGCAGGTGTTCATGGGCTGCTTAGTTCTATTTACCATCAGGTAAACTATAAGTTCGTTTGTCACTTAAATTTTTATAAGTGATAGAGCCATGCTGTAGCTATATTATTAGTAGTATAGTTGTAGCACGAATGGGTCGGCTCGACCGGGGAAGGACTACGCTCTCACAGAACACCAGCGTAATATAGAAGCTTAGCACTGATGTGTTTCGTATGGTGAGTGTAGAGAACCGGAGACCCTTTTTACTGGAAATGAGGAATTCCACCTTAGTCCTCACGGGTGACAACGCATCTGCATTTTTATTCGCAAACGAGGATAGATGTAGATGTCTATGGGCCACAGCGACCACTTACCATCAGGTGGACTGTGTGTTCGTTTGTTACTCTATCCTATATATAAAAAAAAAGATTCCACAAGAAGCATTCATTCGTTTTGACCCCTTGTATAACGAACGCTTATGAGAACACAAGTATGTTGGTAGCAGGCTAAGATATAATAATTACGACATGGGGACACGCAACGCAACACATCACAGATTAAATATTATAAAAAAATTAAAAAAAATTATATAAATCCTGTTAAAACCTTTAGGACCTGCCTTTGAATAAAATAGATCAAGTAAATATTTCCGTCGCTTTCAAAAACGAACTTTGGCCGTTTCGTGGCACACAAACTGTTAGGCTTAGCGATTGACAATCCCTCCTAGATGGAATAACTTCTTTTCTGTCATCGATATAATATATGTACTACGTACTAGATTTCGCATTCCGAACATACACTATGTTCAACTGAATTGGTGAGAATGTGGTTTCAATCTACTAGTTAGTATATGGTTTCAATATACATGCAGTGTGGAGCGGCGCTAATAGTACAACATTTCAAATTAAAGTTTAAATTAAAAACTGACCGCGCAGGCGCAACGCGCTTAAATCGACTGCGCATGCGCGACTCTACTATCTCCCGCGCATGTGCGAACACATAGAGTAGTGCACATTTTTTGTTTAGAATGGCTTCTCTACTATGTACTACGTACGTAGTACATATAAGTCAATGTTTTCTGTCTAAGAGAAGATTTTTTTTCTGCTAATCAGCAATGTCTGTCATTTACCCTAATGTTGTGGTTGTAATCTGCGTTAAAGGGTAGGTATAAGAGGCGTCAATGGGCCGCAGTAGCCAATTACCACCAAGTGGACTGAGTGCTTTTTAATAATAAGGTTAACAAGTATATTGTATTAAGTAGTTGATTATCATTAGTTATAAGTCAACTTCAATCAGTTAATAATTAATATGTCTAAATAGATCAAACGTGGTACGCACTTGCATGCCCGCTCGGACCGCTGCCTCCACACCAATTCTCGAGTCTTCAAATACGAGACACTGTCATAAATAATGGATTATGTAGGTAAATAAATAGATAATGTTCATTCTTAAAGATGGTATCAGTCAAATCATAAAATGCGCTACTGGACTTATGATTCTACAGGTTGAGAATATTTGCCGTTATCGCTACGTTCAACCGCACCTTCAAATTTCTTGACAGGAAACGGTACCTATTTAGTTACATACCTAATAATTATTTCCTGGTTGTTATCAGCAGTAGGCTCACATTTAATTCCTTGATTCCTTTCGCTTTAATTCGTAATTCTTAAAAAATCCACCGATAAATGCATCTAAATATTTTTTTTTTGCTAATTCGAATTCTCTTCAATGCAAATAAGAAAAAGGGGAAAGAAAAAAGAAAAGGTAAAGTTAAAGGAAAAATACTAAGGCGCAGAAGGAGGGCTCCGAAATAGAAGAGAGGCAAGTTCTCTAGGAATCAAATGATACTTCGGTATCAGGCGTCAACATGAGGTATTAGTCAGGACGATAAGGACGATGACACAGAAGACGCAGGAAACAGATGTCTAGTATGAAGCGAATTTGGAAGTAACAACGAGATGTAGTGGGTGGGACTCAAGCAAAGGTTATGTCTGCTGTAAGTGTAAAATTTTGTTTGACTCTGATTACCCATAGGGTGACTACTATTGCCCTCCCCTCAGTGCAGTGGAGGTCAAATCTGTTTTTTTTATAGGAGAAGGGGCAAACGAGCATGCGGCTCTCCTAATAGTAAGTGACTACCGTACCGCCGCCCATGAACAACTGCAACACCAGGCGAATTGCAGATGCGGTGCCAGCCTTTAAAAAAAGGAGTAGGCTCTTTTCTTGAAGATCCCTAAGTCGTATCGGTGCTGAAAAATCGCTGGTTATAATAATGACGGTTCAAAATGAAATATTTTTTGAACCGTCATTATTTCTAAAGCTGATTAAAAGTGATCTCAATTGATAGCTAAATAAGTAAATTTTATTGTTATGTAGTTTCAATAAAGATTTTATTGTGAAATAAGCTTTTATTTGAATTCTCGCTTAAGTGACTGTCATTACCCTCCTTTACCCTACACCTGCCTTGCGGACGTAGTAATAGTCGTATGGGTTGAACGGAGTTCACTCCGAAGCACTACATTGTTCAATGTTCGCTGCATATCCATAGGGCCCTGAAAACGTTAACCCATGTCCGATCATCCATGGGCGGCTTTTCCTTGGGAGAAGACAACTATCCCCTCTGACAAGGTGCACAGAGGGTCTAACTCAGGTTGTCAATTTATTATGCAATTTAAAAGAGTAGAACCAACCAACTCTGTGTTACTATAGACCTAAGTACGTAAGTCATAAGTGCATGTGCTTTTATTGGTCGATAGGTACACAGCATGCGGGGTTTCCCCAGAGACGCGATAACGATAAGTGAAGTCAACCTAAACAGCATTCTGTTTAGGCTAGAAATCTCCCACACCCCGAATGTGTTTCTTATCGACCAATAAAAATAAGCCCTAATGACTACTTTTTTGTCAAATTTTTGTATGAATTCGACACGTATAACACAACGTATGAAGAAATTTAAAACAACCAACAAAACAAAAAATAATAATATGTATATGACGGCACCTGCACCGTTGTAGATGCGGTGGCGTTGGTCTAGCTAGACAGAATTCTTGTAAAAGACACGTGTACCGCACACCTGCGGCATTGCACCTGCGCGGCCGCCCGTCCTGCTTGTATAAAACGGACTGAGCGGCCGCCGTTAAGACAGTCTTGGCTCTGACGTGGAACGGTGCGTTTGTCGTATTCAGTTACTAGTTTATCCTCGACTCGTTGGATAATTAATTTGTGTAAACGAATTAATTATTATTCCTAACTACAAAATCAGTCTCTGTACTATCCCCACTATACTTCCTACATCAGAAGTGGGATAAAGTCCCCCTTATTGCCCACATATAATCTCCGAATAGTATGAGAATTATTACATTTGTAAAGGCTATAGGTAATGCATTTCGCGTTGATGGATCTCTTTTTATGTTAAATACCGTAATGAAATTTGCTGTCCTACTTAGATATTGTCGTATCATTAAAGTGTAGAAGAAAGATAAAGTGAAATTATTTAAGCCAAAAGATAAATCCTTTTGTTCGATTTGTATTAAAAGTACCCTCTAGTATTTTCATTATTTCTGACGTACCTAAATATGTTAAATGGAAAAAATGTCCGAGGCTTTCTAGACGAGTCATCGTTTGCATTGAATGAAAAATTAACTTTTTCAAGTTTTGTTGTAATTTGATAGTTCATGCGAAACATAATTATCATCTGATATATTTTGGAATTCAAAACGTTTAAGCGATGTACCAAAATAAAGGATTAACTTTAACATGCTAGGAATTGAAAATAATAAGTGACATTTTTGTGTTCTAATGTGTTGATCAGTGTTGCAGTTTGCTCCGAATACTGTGTGGTCGACAAGATTGGGGTTTGATGTCGAGAGATTCGTAGAAGTCTCTACAACAATGATCAATGAGGAAGATGTTGTGACGGCTAATCGAACATGGTCAGGTACGGCCGAGCGCTAGTAAGATTGGGCCTACACCGCTACAGTCTGTAACTTATCAGCAGATCTTACGGCAAGGTAATTCAAGCGGCCGCCGAACACATGGTCCTTTGGTGCTGTAAATGAACGTCTGAGGCTTGGTCGGCATTCGTAGATTTTGCGCAGTTGCCTCCTTCCCTTTGAAATATGTGATGGTATCCATCTCTACACATAGTTACCGTTTTTTTTGCAATGTTTTCAAATGTCATACAGTTGCCGTTTCTTAAGAGAATATGTGATGAATTTTGGAAGCTCGGAATTCCATGGTTCGCAATACATTTATCTCGATTTCTTTTAATTTTGCAAAGCAGTGCGACGATTCGCTAGCGCTAGTACGGCGCGACGGCTTGCTGGCGCGAATGTGGCACGAACGCAGCAGAACGAAAAGTTTTAGTGCGTTTGCCTGGAGGTAGCCATATCGGCGCGTTCCAGACTTAAATGAAGTCTGGGATGGTCGACTGTTGTGATATTTAACAAAAGTTAATATCTGTTAGCAGGTGGTGATAACTGATAGACCGTATGCTGTTCACTGTCAACCGCACGAGGACGTGCGACAGTCAGAGGTAGCCGTGTCTGTGCATCTAGAAAATATTAGGGACGTTGCAACACTCTAGCAAAATAATCATTCTAGTGCAGGAAAGGAACATGAAGTTGCAGGGAGGCTGGTTTGTGCTGCACTGGGATATGTGACGTGTTGCTGTTGGTTTACATACTTAGGTGTTATCTTGTCATTACGTCCCTCACGATACACTTTTGTGTGATTGTGACGGGGACATGTTTGCGGTATGGTTGGTCTGTAACTGTTCTATACTGAATTGAAAAAAAAAGAGAGTAAGAAAAAAAATGTGGTTCTTACTAGCATTGCAGGGCGTTTGCCGGTCCAATGATATAGCTAAAGGGAATAGTGATTCCGGACTAGCATAAATAGTACTTGAAAAAAAAAGCGTAAGAAAAAAAATAGATCTTACTATCATTGCAGGGCTTTGTGCCGGTCCAATGATATGGCTATAGGGAATAGTTATTCCGGACTAGCGAAAACAGTACTTGAAAAAAAAAAAGAAAAAATAGAAAAAGCTACAGACTAATCATTCCGATCTAACATAAAGATGATTAAAGTTTTGTAGGGCTTATTGCCGGAACAAAACTGACTGTCACCCGAGTCTGAAGGGTCAATATAGACCGGACCAGACGCTGTTTTGTCAGGATAATCGAACGATGTTTTACAGATTACAGTTGTTACAGATAACTAAAATTGTGATTGAGCGCGTGCGAGGACGCACGCATGTCAGTATGGCCGTGACGGCACCTGCACCGTTGTAGATGCGGTGGCGTTGGTCTAGCTAGACAGAATTCTTGTAAAAGACACGTGTACCGCACACCTGCGGCATTGCACCTGCGCGGCCGCCCGTCCTGCTTGTATAAAACGGACTGAGCGGCCGCCGTTAAGACAGTCTTGGCTCTGACGTGGAACGGTGCGTTTGTCGTATTCAGTTACTAGTTTATCCTCGACTCGTTGGATAATTAATTTGTGTAAACGAATTAATTATTATTCCTAACTACAAAATCAGTCTCTGTACTATCCCCACTATACTTCCTACATATACACAAATACATAGAGTTGCATCAACGAAAATAAAAAGGAAAATATTTAATTGACAGTGCATACCTTACTGGGTCGCGGTTTCGCAGGAAATTTGGATGCAGCTAACACGTAAATATCTGGATGCGGCTTGCCTCGATTTACTTCTGAGTTAGTAATGCTTACCTTAGATAACATTTTTTTAATTAATTTATCTATATATTGAATAAAACTAGTGACGGGGGACTGACCATGGGTGCTGTAAAGCACCCGAAACGTCGGGAATTAATAAAAATAAGAAAAAAATAAGTTAATTAAACGCGATAAAATGCGTGAAAGTAGTTTTATTCAATGTGTAGTGTTCGCGTAAATATAAGAAATTAATTTATTTATAAATAATTTAAAAAGCTTGGTTAGTTAGTTATTTAAAAAGCTTTGCGCCCCGCAGTGTTCAGTATTGTGGATTTGTACGCATTACGAACGCAATCTATGCTTGGAGATAAGCCTAAAAATGCACTTAATTTTTACTCAGATGACATTTACTCGTATCATGTCCATCGTGATGTTGTAAGCGCATAGTCTATACACTCGCATTGTTAATGTTGCTTCCCATTCTGCTTTTTTAGGATCTAGGTTCGACATTCAGGATGGTGCTCCCTAAGTGGGTGGGAGTTGGAAATTAAAAAAATATTCTAGCACAATATATGCGTTATATACTACTAAAACACTTCTATGTATCTATAGGTAAAATGTTGATCCTGAGTAGAGAGCGTTGTACGAGGCTTGCGGCAAACAACTTCAGCGACCACTACCACACATATACATATTATATCTTTTGAATAATACATCATTTTACGTGGTAGAACCAAGCTGCAGCTATATTTATAGAATAGTTGTAGCACAAATGGGTCGGCTCGACCGGAGAAGGACCATACTCTAGTTTTGCCATCAACGCAAATTTCAATGGTTCATTGCGGTGAAAATATTGGAGCAACTAATTTTTAAACTTGGTACTTAATTAGCACCTAAAAAGCCCCTAATTTGGACTTTTTCTGAAAGCAATTTTGATTCTATTTTGATTTTCAGGAAATCTGAATTTTGCATCTGATATGTTCTGAATAACGACTTTATTTTTATTAGGGGTGCCTTGTTATTGCGTATATTTGCAGCACCTAATTAGCACTTAATTACTTGCTATTAATATTTATCGTATATCTAATAAATTCATTGCATTGCTAGCGAGACGTTTTGCTAGCAACGCAAATTTCAACAGTTCGTTGCGGTGAAAATTATAGAGCACCTAATTTTTAAATTTGGCACCTAATTAGCACCTAAAAAGCCCCTAATTTAGGATTTTTCCAAATGCAAATTCCGGACTTTGCGTTGCTAGCGATACACAACTCCACACTCTCACAGAATACCAACATAAAATAGTAACTTAATGCTGCTGTGTTTCGTATGGTGAGTGTAGAGAACCGGAGACCCTTTTTACTGTAAAAGAGCCATTCCATCTTAGTCATCAAGGCTGACAACGCATCTGCATTTTGATTCGCAAACGAGGATAGATAGTAGATGTATGGCCTCAGCAACCACTTACCATCAGGTGGACTGTGCTCGTTTGTCACCCTATTTCTATAAAAAAATATCAGAATGGTTCGGTTGGATTTGTAAGTGCATGTTTTTGATGAATACATTTTAGAAAGAATTGTGACGTGTGATGAAAACTATCGTGAATATCGAAAGCGGAAAACGCAACCCAGGTCAAATATTGGAACAATACCCTAAACCGAAGCTCGCGTACAGAAAAGTAACGGTATTGGTAATAGTTTGTACAGCTTCCTGAGGAAGCTGTGCAAACTGTGTAAGTGTTAATGCATCCATCCACCCTCAGATTTTCACCTGTTTCGGTCTCTTCAGAATTATTAGGGTAGTGTCAAGTCGCATTTTTTTAATCAAAAATCCCAAGATTTTTACAGCAACGGGATTATGTCACCTACAAGATGGTATATAATATATATATATATATATATATATATATATATATATATATATATACATATTATATTTAAATGTAATTGAACTTTGAAAACTTTTATGAAAGTCTTGAATTTGTATAAAAAATACGTAGAAACTTTTCCCCTAGCATATAATTGTAACTAATGTGGTTTTAATAGTATCTATCTATTGTTAATTATAGAATACGGAAGATATTACTCATTAGAAATTTACCTTATGATGGAATAAAGCAAAAAGTTCGGGCCTTTCAGTGGCATGCATTCGTACCGCATATTCTGTAGAGTTGGTAACCAGAGCCAAAGGGATGTTACATTTATTGAGATGGGTCAGGAGTCGTTCAGCCCCTACAAGAAGTGAAGAGTTCATATAATTCAAAAAAATTTTTTTTTGAAAATGATCTCAAAATGATCATGTAACAAAGAATCTTGTGATATAAAATAAAACCACATCGTTTAACGAAATGAAGGCACTAATATGAAGCAATTTTCAAAACATTAGAGTGACAGACGAACTGGCTATCCACCTGATCTTAAGTAGCAAAGAAGGCTGTAGATGTGTTATCACCCCAAAACCCTGTAGGACCTTTTTCTGTGCGAGCAGCCGAGCAGAAATGCCTCATTATCTGAAGTTAAACTGGCTTCAAATAGAAACACAATAAAAAAGTAAAAAAATATGTTTTCTGTACTTTACTTTATTCAGACTCCTCAATAGTTCAGAAAAAGGAAACCAGTTACACAGGAGCTTATTGTAGATCAAACTGTTTTTATAAGTATATGAATCCAAGGCCTTAATTAATGAGACTGAACAAGCCACAGATCAGGATAGCAACAAGTGTAATTACAGGACACGGCTCTTTTAACAAACATCTATTTACCATAGGTGTTATAGATAGTCCCGCTGCAGATAGCAGGGGATGTATGGGGGAGGAAGAAACGGCATGTCCGGGGGTCGAGATCACTCCCCGAAATTGCTCGCAACATCAAAGGATTGCTGAACTTTTTCAAGATTTCATGGCTCGAATAATCGCAATATTCCTGCCCACGCGCAAAATACGCGCTTAGTCATGGAGTTGTGGAAAAAAGCCCGTCGTAAACTAACTGGATGATTAGCGGTCCACCAGTGTGCGATTTAGATGTTTTATTCCTCGCACAACTTCCTTGCGGAATCGATTACCATCAGCGATTTTTCCAGCACCGATAGGACTTAGGGACCTTCAAGAAAAGATCCTACTCCTTTTTAAAAGGCCGGCAACGCATCTGCAATTCCCTCCCTGGTGTTGCAGTTGTTCATGGGCGGCGGTAGTCACTTACCATCAGGTGAGCCGCATGCTCGTTTGCCCCCTCTCCTATAAAAATAAACTAACAAATTAAGCATATGAATCTTAATTAATGTTATCGTATCCTAAGAATATTGTACAAATACCTTCTGTCAACGGCGCACTTGGCAACAGTTTTTTGGCTGAATCAGACAGCTGCATCTCAAACTCATCAACGGATATCGGTAACTTCAATTCACGAACAACGGCAACGCTTAATTCGCGATCAGTTACACCGTACATCTATTATATTAATAATTTAAATATAAGAAAAAAATACGTTTGAATACCGAATAGAATTTACGGCTATATTCTGCGGATAGAGGATTTCTTTTCTCTCTTTTTCAAACGTAAGTAATAGGAACAATTTTATATTTTGTCTATGGATTTAATATTAAGAATGAAATGCTTTTTAATAAAATTACCTGGATTTGTAGTTGACGGTTATAAGTTCGACCATATCGTTCACATATTTTTGTTACGATTTTCTGGTAAATTACTTCAGAATCTAAAATTAGAAAATGTTTTTTGAAATTTCTAAGAAATCGTCCGCTGTATATAGAAGCTAAGTAAGACTCCTAAAATAAGTTAGCAAAATTTCCGAATTTATTAATAAAAATAATTTGAAATCTATTTTTTCGCAATTGGGAATTGGATCAAGCAAATTAATTCCACTTACACAGTATATTCTAGTTTTTAAGGTTTTATTTCTTTTTTACTTTTACGTATTTTGGTACTTGTGGCGATGGTTGCTTCACCATCGTGCTTGTGGAGGTGATCTGCTCGGGCTTGCTACAATGAGGAGTTTCAAATGTTTGCGTAGTTATTTCATCAGTTACCAATGGGTCTATTAACTTAATATATAAAAATCATGATGTTCGTACACGCTCATCTCCGAAACCGCTCAGCCCCTTTTAATAAAATATTGTAAGTGAAGATATTGCTTGCTCCAACTTGGGGAATAGGATAGTTCTTATCCCGATACCATTATCGTTAGCGTCTATTAAAGTCCACTGCTGAGCCTTCCCCATAGATTGCCTCATAGGGGGATATTTGCTATAGTTGCCACGCTTAGCAAGCGGGTTGGTAACCGCAGTTTTTTATTTTTAGTCGTTATTAGGAAGACTATATAAGAATTGTTTCCGTCTGTCGCTTTTTACGATACCCATGGGATAAAATGGGATAGTGGATATTCTTACACCGCCACTACACGTCATCCCGATAAGTAACATATAATATTTAAAATTGCGAATTTAAGGATTTTTTTATAGGACAAAGGGTCGTCGGAAAGGGCAGAACAACGCCTGCCTGGCCAGCCTGGTTTTTTTTAAATAAAATATACACTACTATTAATTTTAACCGACAATATTAAAAAAAAGGTTGTCCTTGGAGTTTCTTTTGTCGTTTTTTCTGAAGCCGGGGAAACTTCTAAAATCTTAAGACGATTAATTAAGAAAAAGTTATTTAAAAACGAAAATTTTCATTTCTTACATACGTTATAGATAGTTCAATTGATATTTGTCTTTTTTAATATAATCCGGATTTTCCTCTTTCTAGTTTCTTTAATATAGGAGTTTATTAACATCTTTTTCTCCTCGAGTCAACGTCACTTGCAGGGGGAAGGGTGTACATACACTGCTAATCGACGAGAGAGGCCCTGGCGAACGGTTTACAGCAGGAAAATTCATCAAAGAAACTGCATATATACTCCATGACAAGTTTTATTTAGAAGGTAGCAGCAGTAGATTCATAGTTTTACACCGCCTTTGATCACTACTTTGCTGTCTAAAACTAAGGAATTAATCGAGATTATGAACATCATACCCAATATAGTTCCATCCATATCGAATAAGCAATGTGTTACTTTTTTAAATCTTTTGTTTAAATGACATAGTCTTTTTATTGCAATAGAGGGACATGATCTCTTACGCAAGAAAGGATTTTAAAAGATGTAACTGAACCAATTTGAACATTATCATATATTATATATTATACCTATATTATATATTATACCTACAGCTTGATACTAAAAATTATTCAGTGAATACAAACTATATAGAAACACTACGCGTCAGTGAATGACAGATATGGTAGTGACAATCTGAATTCTAAAGTCAAAGCAGGGCCGCATTAAGCATTGAGGCCCTCAAAAGAGCAACGGAGAAGATTGTCTCAATGAATTCTAAAAAACTTTTTAGTGTTTTAGTTTTTAGCATATTATATATATTATAATTTTATGTAGTTTCATAATTAATACGAAATATAAAATAAAATTAACTAGGCCATTTTCAAAAAGAAAGAAAGTCGTAACGCAGAGGACAAGCCTAAGCTAAAACATTCGTACTACGCGGGCAAAATGAGTTTTCATTTTCACTAGTTCAGGACTAGTGAAAATCAAACTCGCAGTCGGCAGTGAGCGGAAAAACGTAACAATCTAAAGGTGCTTTCCGACGTAGTCACACTGCAGCTGGACTATGGCTGCAACCATGATCAGTTCAACCGGGGTAGTGCCACGCTCTCCTAGAATACGTTATTTACGTAAGTACTGTCTCCATAGGGAATTTAACCAGTGCCAAGTCTAAAGATTTATTGTGACTAAATGTTGCATAACGTTTTGAGCAGGCCATGTTTCCTTATAGAATGACCACAATATATACCTAGTCGAGTTCAGATTTCGAGTTGGCTACATGAAATAATTTTGTTTGTTGAAAAAATTACTTTGAAGCGTATTAAAATGACTAAAGGCTCCATACTTACTTTGTGTAAAGCAATCCATTCATGTAAGGTATACAGTCCCTTTGGCAATATTGTTAAGTGCTCATGACTTTAGCTCCTATCGTCCTCCTACAATTACTAAACATTTTTGCCTTTCTCTAGATTCTCCCCTGGTCACGAGCCACAGACTAAGATGATAATAGCTGAGAGTATCTATATGAAATAGTTTTTTTTTTTAAATAAAAAGTATAACAAAAAGTACAAATACGTAGGATTTATATCTCTTAATATGACACAACTGTAGCAGCTAAAACGTGTGATTATATACTCTTTGTCAGTAGATGGTAAATTTCGCTAGGCACAAACGAGTCACCGTCCACACTCACGGGGTTGTGTTGCCCCCAATTGCGGTGGGCACCGGTATTCGGTCACCACGGTAAGTGGTCGGTGGTCGGTGGCCGCCACAGTTTCTAACACTCTAGTCCAGTGCAGTATCACGATTGACTTCGAGATGGAGGGTTTGATCGCGTTACTTCTTATACATAGACGATGGACACGACGTATTGTAGACGACGTAGCCTATATTGGGTACATCCAAATTAAAGTACAATAAAACAGTGTGCTAGGGGCAAGTGTCGGCGTTTCGTGTGGCTCGAGACGGCCACGAGTGATGTGTTTTAGTGACACTGCTGTAGCGAGTTGCCGCCACCGGTTACTCGTATGCGGCTAATCCATACATAATGAATGAAAAAGTATGTAAACCACTTGTCACTAGCTACTCGTGACTATAGCAAATGGCGCGTTTGTGCTAAGCCTTAGAGCAACACAGCCACCGCGTGCAGTCTCGTTCTCGTTACTCTCTGATCAGGCTGGCAAAAATAATATACACAGGTTATTTTTGAAGCGCTAGAACGCCCGAAAACGAAGACAGATGACAGTACCAACTATTGTATTGTACAGTGACCTTTGATGATGGGTGAAATATAAAATCGATCCTGATGAAAAAAAAACATCTATTCAAAACGTTTTATTAGCTTTATTCATTCTTTATCATGTTAGTACAGCTACATGAAACGATAATTTCATAAAAAAAAACCATGAAAATACTTATACATAAAACCAGCAGTGGAATTACTGATTTACAATCAGCTGACTAGGGGTCAATGTACGCGCGAACGCTGAATTCGCGCGGCTCGCAGCTAGTTGGCCATACCACAATACCTGATAATTTACAACACTTGTCTATATACCTAACTTATCTACTTAATCTACTATTTTGCCACTGTCCTTGTCTCCACGTAGACACTTTAATTCGAATTCACAGGTTAAATAACCTGTGGCGGCGCTGTCGTCGTGCCACAAGCGAAACATATCGAAGCCTAAATCGCGCTAACATAGTTCCGAAGTTAAAGCAGTATATTATATAGAATAGCTCCGAACTACCACTCGGAGCGTTAGCCGCTCCCCGGGCAGAAAGCCTTGCCCGGCGGGAGATCTCCCCTTTTTCTTCCACCTGCCACAAATCCAAATAACTGGTTCGATTCCCCGCTAATGAAAAAAATTATTAAATGAAATATAACCAAGTTTACAGTTATGCGTTTTTATTCATCGTGTAGGTATGTTTATTATTCTGATGTATTCAGTTATGTACCTATTCAGATCAGTTCAGTACAAAGTTACTTAAAAAAAATTAGGTATGAAAGAGCTTACCGCTCTAAATCCTCTCGTTGTTGCTGGTCTAATAACCAACGGCAGAAAACTCGCTCTAACTCGGAAACTCGGAACTAAAGCTTGCACTTTGTACACTTTGTATGGGCGCATTCGGTTACGCTTTAAGGCTTTGTATACAGTATGATACACTTGTTCCATCCCGACGCCTTAACAAATTAGACTGAAATAGTGACAATGAAGAAAGATATGGTCCAGCGGTGGAGCCTGCTGGAGCGATGCAGCATTGTGGGGCAGCCTGGAACTCGGCCGCTGCTGATCGTCTAAGCTGGTCCAGGTCTCAGACATTTACACATCACTAAACACTACTTGCCATGCACCTCACACCCACTTACGGCCTGACCGAGCCTTGGGGCGATCTAAGAGTCGCAAACAGGTACGTACTATACTTCCCTAGCCTTCTCCCATATAGCTTAGTATTATATGAAATTCTTCCATATGGCATTTTGAGCCCCGTCCCTCTGCTGCCCGTCGATGGGATTACTCATGGGCCCTAGTCCAAACAACAAACAAAGGTTGACTTGTTGGCGCAGCTAGGGGCGTGTACAACTACTATTTACTACGTGGTCCTACTCCGATCGAGCCGACTCATTCGTGCTACAACTATACTACTAATATAGCTGCAGCATGGCTTTACCACGTGCATAGACGTTGCTGCCTGTTTCCTGGTTTGTTTCCTTCTGTCGCCTCTTTATACACCCACTGGACGATATGGGGTAGTGGACGTTCTTACACTGCCACTACATGGTTGTCCCCACACGCAATTATACATTTCTTATTCATTTTCCATAAAAACTGAGAAATGAGAAAATATGTTTTTTTTTATAGTAGTAGTAGATACTGTGGCCTATAGATATCTACATTTATCCTAGATTAAGAAAGCATATGCGTTGCCGTCCCCGTGGACTAACATTCAATGCCTCCAATAAAAAAGATCTCCAGTTCTTCTACACTCACCATACGAAACACAGCAGCATTAAGCTGCTAAATTACGCTGTATTCTGTGAGAGCGTGGTTCTTCCCCGATTCGATCCATTCGTACTACAACTATAAAATAGCTGCAGCATGGCTCTACCACGTATAATATTATTATATAATATATAATGTAATGTTTGGCAGCAGCGTTTTCCTAATTATCACTAAAAATAAAAATAAACTTCGGTTGCCAATTAGCTTGCAAAGCGTGGTAACTATGGCAAATATTCTTCCTATGGGGCAATCTAAGGGGAGGCCTGTGTTCAGCAGTGGACTTTCATAGGCTGTAACGGTAACGGTATAGATCAATCAATCCGACACGCTGATTTCCCATTTCCTTGAAATATTTACTCCTTACACATTATTTTCTTACGATTTTTTTAACCAGCCAGCACTTGATAGTCAGCACTTAATTTGTTTTTTTTTAATTGACGACTCCGCGGCGCAGTGGCATAGCGGTGAGTTGCAGCGTTAAGGGCTGCGGGTTCGAATAGGGAACAAGTATTTGTATACCCTACAAATAATTGTTTCGGGTCTGGATGTTTGTCCTTGTGAAATTTATGTATGTAAACTGCCACCACGATACAAGAGAAATCCCTAGTGTGGAGTAAACGCAAAAAAATATATATAATTCACCTGCTGCATAAGATTGAGGACAATTTCAAAACGCTTTCTCTTGACATCCTCTGGGTCAGACTCTTGTTCTGGTTCCAACTCCGCACATACCTATGTTCGTGTGCCTAGGTTCGGTCTTGACTTCCACCTACTGCCGCTATCAGAGCAATGGGCCGATTTTCCAACGCTCGCTGAAATGCTGCTGTTATCAGACTAGTGTCAGCTGGATGTCGAGCGGTCGGGAATTTCGCTCGGTAAATTCGCAATGCATGCGAAGCATTCCCGCGGACTTCTCCAAGGAACTTGTCGTATTAACGAGCACTATAAACGTACGCGTTAGGTATTATAAAAACAAAACAGGAAACTTAAAACGTAACAACAAGAATAATATCATTAAGTAATAAATAACAAGTAATAACGACAATAATTTAATAAACAAAACAATTGAACTTACTACAAAAATTATTGAAATTAATAAACGTACCTAATTGGGTACTCAGTACTCACACAATTATAAACACTATTTCATCGTTATCTTTGATTTTGTATCATCATCATCATTTCATCATTACAGCCCTTCACAAGTCCACTGCTGAACATAGGCCTCCCCCAAAGAATGCCACAAAGCACGGTCCTGAGCCACCTGCATCCATCGACTTCCTGCATGTCTTACCAGGTCGTCACTCCATCTCGTGAGGGGACGCCCTACACTTCGCCTACCGGTACGAGGCCGACACTCGAGAACCTTTCTTCCCCATCAGTTGTCGGTTCTTCGAGCTATATGGCCGGCCCACTGCCACTTCAGCTTAC